TAATCAAAATTATGAATGAAATAGCTAAATAAAAAAGGGAGAAGATTGGTATCTATCATACTGATAACAATAACAATTATTATTATTGTTCTTATTATGTTCACAATTTTGGACAATAATCAATGTATTGGTATGATTGTTTTAGCAACTTTGGTAATAGCATTATTATTAGAAGTAGTAATAGTGATAATATTGACAGAAGTAATGTAGTGTATGCTACTTATGTTGACAGATATATGTAGTATGTAACACCAATCAGAAGTTGAGAACCCAGCAGCAGAAGGCTATGAAAGTCGACATGAATAAAACAGAATCAGAATGAAGAAGGAATTATGAATCTAAAACATCATTCAGAATATGAGGGATAAATTATGGAAATCTGCAAATGAAGTATTTCACTAAGAGAGATTCTTTGATTTTGTATTGAAATACATTTGATTGTTCCCACTGGTGTTCTTGTTCACTACTATAACCATAAACTTGAAGCAAAAGATTGTATAACATTATCGATAATTTTTCAACATAATACATTTTGATTTCACTTTGTATTGTTTATTTGTATCTTCCCATTGATATTTAGGACTGCAACTGGTCAGTCTCTTATTGGCATACATGCATACTGTGCGTATTGCCTCGATATAGCCTTATTTCACAAGCATTGCAAGCAAAGATGGATAGTGGCAAGCAGTGGAATCCAGGACGCACGTTTCGTTCTATTTCGGACTCGTCAGCTGGACGTACCCGCATCTCAAAGTTAATGTTCACTCTGGGACTCGAACCTAGTACCCTTCGCTTCAAACGCCATCGCGTTATCAACTCAGCTACTGATTTCACTTAGTATTGTTTGTTTGTATCTTCCCATTGATGTTTAGGACTGTAACTGGTCAGTCCAGGTACATCCAACTGACGAGTCCTAAATAGGACGAAACGCGCGTCCAACTGGATTCTACTGCTAGCCACTATCCATCTTTGCTTATAGTACATTTTAGCTTTCTCTTAATAAACTATAAAACAAACTGTATAATTATATTATTGTACCCATTAAAAAAATTTACACTTTAAAAACATATGAAAGCAATTAGTATAAATCTACCAATTAACATTATATAGGAGTAATTAAACAACGGTAAATAGATCAAGTTTCTTTTTAAGTTAAAAACAGTTGTGGATTACTTTTATCGTTAAAATAGAAGCGTTTTTTTAGTTTTTTTTCCGGTTAGCGTTTTTTAGCGAGTTGGTTTTCTACGGGATGGGGTCGCTAACCCAATACCCAACCCTCCTCCTTTACCCGAGCTTGGGACCGGCAGTAGCCCCCGGAGGAGCTGCAGACGGAGTTATTAAAATAGAAGAGTAACAGATTAAGAAATGTACTTTACATATGAAACGTATGATCATCGAAAATAAGCTGTTATGTCGAGGTAAAAACAAATTTTGCTTGGATCGGTATAGGATCACAATGTGTGTTATCACTCTATCTTACTTGCTCCTAGTTCGTTGACTGACTAGTTCATCTATATTGCTAGTAAAATCAGTTATCTGTTTGCCGATTGACACATTAATCAATGAATAACAACCGAAGAGTTAATGTTTATTGGTCTTTCAAATTCAAATAACCCAATGACCAATCGGAAGACGAAAATCGGAAATCGACCGCTTCTCTGTTGTACTCAATGTAATTACGACTCAAAACGTAAATAGTAATGTACTTGAAGTGTCTGATCACACAATAACATGATTAATGAACCACAATATGTACATAAATCAGACATAAATGATAGCAAAAAAGAGTAATGAGGCATTAATTAATAACAAATCTGGAGTAATAAGATATACGACAAGGATTTATGGATCAAATGAATGTTTAGAAAGAGGCGAATATAAAAATAACAGTTTAATCGCCTGCTAATTATACAATAAAAATAAAAATCATAACCCTTCGTATGATAGTTTCAAAAGTCATACATCTGCACTGTTCATCTCATTAATTCATTTTGTATTATTTGTTTTAATATTCTCATTGATGTTTGGGACTCCAACTGATCAGTCTCTTATTGGTATATGCGAATCTTGTGCTGATCGTGCAAGCTAGTAGCTATCAGGACTCAGTAGCTAAGTGGATAACGTGATAGCGTTTGAAGCGAACGTCATTGAGTTCCAATCCTAGAGTGAATATCAACTTTGATATGCAGTTATATCCAGCTGACGAGTCTCAAAGAGGGAGAAACACACATCATCTTTGCGTATAACAATAAATCATGTTCCCTTAGTTGAAATCATGAGTTGATTAAAGCTAGACCACCATAGAAAACCTGGAAGCACTATACGGCCGTTTCGTCCTATTCTGGGACTCCTCAACAATGCGCATACACGATCCTGCCTCACGAGATTCGAACCGAGGACCTATCAGTCTGGCGCGCGAGCACTTAACCTCTAGACCACTGAGCCGGCCGGCACCCAACGGTGTTAGTCTTGCGAGTTGGGATCGTGAATGCGCACTGCTGAGGAGTCCCATAATGGGACGAAACGGCCATCCAGTGCTTCCAGGTTTTCTATGGTGGTCTAGTTTCAATTGACTCGTGATTGCAACCATGAAAATACTGAAATCTCCACGAAATCCCTTCTAATCATGTTTCCTTGTTGTATTAAAATAAACACTTTGTGAATTATATATATATGCGGATATGCTATGAACATGTTGAGCAGACTGGATGAAAACCGTTATTAAATCAATAATTTCTGGAACAAACAATCTAACAACCAGACAAGTTTATTTTGGTGAAATAAGTAAGTAAAAATAGGACATATTTCATAGAACAGCACAAATACTATTGCCCCGCTCCTGTTCCCCCACTACCCTATACTTTACTTACTCTCAGGAATATCAACAAACAACAATTGATTGGTAACTATCAAAGAAAATTTTATTTAAATAAGAAACAATCGAATTATTTATTCACATCTGTAATCGATTTAATTAAGCACTTTAACATTACAAATCCCATCAATCGAATAGTAAAAGTCCATATTTTTTTCCTACAAACTGGTTAGATGATAACAGAGAAATTCTCTTCATTCTCTCTTCAACACAAAACCTATTCAATCTATGAATTATAACAAGATTTCAATAAATAAAGGAAAAAAATATATAACACTGATATTAATTATAAGTAAAGATGGATAGAGACTAACAGTGGAATCCATGACGAGCGTTTATTCTTATTTAGGATTCGTCAGCTGGATGGGAAAATACAAGTAAACAACATCAAATGAACTGATGTTAATTGTTTTCTTTATTTATCTTTCTTTTTTGAAATAAAACTAATTCAAATTATCATAGTTGAAATCATGATTCAATTGCAGCTAGATCACCATAGAAAACCTGGAAGCACTGAACGGCCGTTTCGTCTTATTATGGGACTCCTCAGCAGTGAAAATACTAAATCTCTACAAAACCTCCTGATAATAATCCAACTTAACTAATTTCTTTTCTTTCCCCTTTTTTAAATGAAAATTATTCTTTATTTAAAGAGATTTGAAATGGAATTAAATGATATTTGTATATTACTTCTCTACAGGAATTCCCCTTTCTTAGAAACTTATCAATAATATGATCTATGTGTATTTAGATGGTGTGTGTGTGTATATATGGATAATTTATTTGGCATTCCATTGATAAACTTTTCACCAATGTGTTCCTATTGAATATACACCATTATTATTATTATTATTATTATTATTATTATTATTATTACTATCAATATTAGTATTATTACTATTATTAGTGCTAGTATGAATAACCTTTTTTTATATTTTATTAAAGTACATTCCCTTTGAACATATCATATATGGAGCTATAATAAATATTCATTAGTAACCGTATGAAATCTTTCAATTCAATATAACCCGGAAAAAAATGTACAATTAATGATATGGTTACCAGTTGTATGTGGGTAGTTGAATCTTCCAAAAACTTACTTGGTAATATGTGAATTTCAATTTTGTATTATTAATGATGATCATTACTGTTTTTGTATAGTTATTTTTCGTTAATGGTAACATCATACAATCAGAAATGTATGTGTGTTGTGTGCTAGCGTTTATAGCGCCAAAAAGAAATATAATATAAGGATCTTAATACTTGTATGGGTAGTATTGTGGTGTGGTTTACTTATATCCTTATAAATAGTATATGGTAATGGTTAGACATAGAATGCATTTTGGAAGAAGACCGATAAGGAAAGAACAGGAATGAAGCGTAATTGGCAGGAAAATGCATGAACAATGGGATTAGAGAAAACGGACTGATATTTACAGAAGGAACAGTTAAGATTGAGACAATTGAGTGTTATTTTGAAAATTAACTATTTGCTGTATGGTTATCAGAATTTAATGAGATAGTCTGTAATTTGCGTTTAAATACATTCAATTGTCCCCAACCGGTGTTCTGTTCACTACAGTATAACCACTTCATTAGTATGATAATTCAGTTATAAATGTGGTAGTTTTGATCAAATTATAATCTTATTAAATGATACGATTGTTCAAATCTGTTAATGATATGCAAGATTCATGTATGTGAGCCCCACCGACTACTTAAGTGAGACAATCAAGAATAAATGGGAAGCTTTTATTGAATAAACTAGATGGAGAATATATTTATAATTAGTTCATAAATATAAATACTTACCATTATAAGCAGAGATGGACATATGCTAATAAGAGACTGATCAATTGCAGTCCTAAACAACGATGGGAAGATTCAAACAAACAATACCAAGTGAATATAAATACTTACCTCTTAGAAAATGAAGCCTAATTTTCACTATTAGGGTATTTCTATTTTCTCAGAATTTAATCTGAATCTTGATCAATAGCTTATGTCTTCCATCATTACTCATTTGTCATTTGGACTATATCTGACTGATCCAGTGTATCATTATTCTATTTTGAAAATAAATCTGGCATTTGAATGCAACTGTGTAAGCTGAGGTGAAGGTACATTAATTCATATCATCATCATCATCATCATCATCATCATCATCATCATCATCATCATCATCATCATCATCATCATCATCATCATCATCATCATCATCATCATCATCATCATCATCATCATCATCATCATCATCATCATCATCATCATCATCATCATCATCATCATCATCATCATCATCATCATCATCATCATCATCATCATCATCATCATCATCATCATCATCATCATCATCATCATCATCATCATCATCATCATCATCATCATCATCATCATCATCATCATCATCATCATCATCATCATCATCATCATCATCATCATTTTGGGTCGTATGTTCTATAATTTTGATACAAAAACAAAGTGTTTTTAAGAACATTTCCGATAAGTCCAGTGCCGGATAGACAGAGTGAATCGTATAACGTTTACTATCGTTCTAAGATCGTTGTTGAGATAGTTGACAAGACAAACTGACATATATTCATAAGAATTTTTGAAGTAAGGATAAACTGGACAAATATTTCGGTCTAATTTTCGAGACTTTTCATTACTGAACACACAGGTAAGCAAATGGGAACGATCTTCAGGTCTAGTGTTATGGAGATAACAATTAGACTGTTAAATTCGCTAACAACGATTCATAGTCTTAATTCTAGTTGATTTGGGATATAATATGAATCATTATTTAGTATTGTTTAACTTTATAACTTTTTAGAGGCCCAGAACAGAGTGGTTTGGAGAATGCTGGTCGGCGGCATATGCTCCATTGGGAGTAACAGGCGTAAGTAAGTAAGTAAGTAACTTTTTGGAGGACTAGATGATCTACTTATTTCAACTGCTTTCTTTTTTTCATAAATACAGTTATCATAACCAAGTTTTTATTGATGTAAAATGGTTAAATGAAATGATAATAATATAGGTCATTAACAGTGTGGTGTGACTTTCCTTACTGTAATTTATAGTTCTTCATGATCTGTTTTATTTGTTTACTTAAACACATAAACATTGGTATATATATATATATATATATATATATATATATGCACCCCATAAATCATTCGATTTGTGTGACAGCTGCAATACTTATTGGGCACCGAAACAAAAGTAGATGATTTTCTTAGAGGGCCACTCGCCGGATCTTTGACCTAAAGGTCTAATCCACACGACAGTAAAGCAACGTTAGGAGATGAAGTCCCATGGGTAACTAACAATAGGTTCATACTCCATTTATTGCTTCAGAATCCTTGAGCTCATAAACACCATTGATTTGAAATCACGGTTTTACAGCTCTCCTAGGTAGATCCTTTATATCCACCAACCTGTTTATACTAAATCAGAAAGGATGAATTCACTTGTTGTATCTTCTCATTGTTATTTAGGACTTTAATTAATCAGTTTCTTGTTGTCATATGTGCATGATGTGCGTATCGCCTTGATACTGCCTTAAGTCACAAGCTTTATAATCAAAGATGGACTCAGTAGATAAGTGGATAACGCGATAGTGTTTGAAGTGAATGGTACTGGGTTCTAGTCTCAGAATGAACATCAATTTTGGGATGAAGATACATCCAGCTGACGAGTCCAAAAGAGGAAGAAACGCGCATCCTGGATTCCATTGCTAGCTACCATCCATCTCTACTCATAAAGGATAAGTTAAGACAAAACTTATGATTAGTTTTAACTGTATTTATCAGCGGACGAATGTTTTTCATCTACTACTACTGTGGTAATTTGCTTTGATTATTTTTCGTATTCATTTTGTTACCTATTCAGTAATGGTTACACCTTATCGGCTCTCCGTCTTGATGAGCTGAGGTCAAGTGAGTGACCACACTACGATCCTGTATGGGTGTTTCGGAGACATAGCATATATCATTTGAACGAGATTCTAGGGTCTTATCCATGGAGGCCTGATGGCCAATTTGACACAGGGTGTGCACATTGAAGGCTCCAATGTATAGTTTGGAGCCAGGTTTCGGTAGGCCTGGGAAAGTGTTTTGCGTACTAATATCGTTGGCTATGGTGACATTTGAAGAGGAAGCCAAGAGAGGAAGTTTAGTGTTGAAAGTCGATGTAGGAGGAATAATGGGAATTGTAGGGGGAGATTGATCATGAATACAGTGATCTTGAATACTGTTAGAGGTATGAAGGCGGTTATCACTTCCCGGTTGCCCACACCGTGAAAGGGTTTTTCTAGAAGTACCTGATTTAGAAATTGGATTACAGGTGGTATTAGTGACTTGAGAGCGTGACCGCTGTGCCCAAGGGACAACTGCTTGAGGTCGGTCACACACGACCTTTTTGTGAGTAATTTTTGTGTTAGCGCCGTACTTGATGGGATCTTACCGACGGAGACGGAAATCCGTGGGATAAGGCGAGGTGTGTATTTTTAGGGTCGACCTTTTCAACCTCACCCCTCCTTGTGGGAAGGCAACATCTCTGTTATGCTGGTTGTCTGAAGGAAACACCTTTCCGCCGTCACACCTCTGTGCTGTCAGCAGTAAGACTTCACCCTCGGACCTTGGGTTTGATGCTTTTAGACTTACCGCTCTTCAACCGATCTCCTGGCATGGTGGGACCCTGAGGAACGATTGTTCCAGCCAGTACAGCTCGGTTGGTTTTATCCCGATAGGCAAACGCAACCACCGCGTCAAGGTAGCAGCAACCATAGGGCTTCATATCTTTCTTTCTTCTTGTACTATATTATTATATACGATCTTTCTTTTATGTATTACTACCATTAAATTAACTACCTCCATGAATTCGATGTTCATCATGTTGTTCTAATGAGATATGGCAACTTGGTCCGATGCTTGTACCACGTTGTCGCTGATTGACCGACTGACTGACGCCTCTTTATGTATATGTATTCAAGCACACATGTTCATTAATAAACATAGTGCTATGTGATGCTATCATTTAAATTGAATACAATTATTTACATAACATTTACAAATAGTTGTACTTTTAAATAATTAATTATTTACAGTTTGAACTTATCAACTATCTTCTGATTTCATTTACTTTATTGAAAATATAACATACTGTTTGAAAAACTGCAAATTGTCATCCATTTATCTTATTTTTCAACAATTTATCAATATAGTAAATAAATACTTTTATTTTTAAATTTTTTGACTATTCTTTGAATTTTCATTTATAATTGAAATCATGAGTTCATTGAAGCTAGACCAACATGGAAAACCTGAAAGCACTCGACGGCCGTTTCGTCCTATTGTGGGACGCCTCAACAGTGCGCACCCACGACCCCTCCTCACTGGCGGGATTCGAACCCAGGACCTATCAGTCTCGTGCGCGAGCACTTAACCGATAGACCACTTAGCTGGCCGGTATTAATGTCTAGCTTCAACCAATCCACGAAGTTGAGTAACCGTTTCACCAATCTCGCGAGGCGGGATCATGGATGCGCATTGCTGAGGAGTCCCACAATAGGACAAAACAGCCGTGCAAAGCTTCCAGGTTTTCCATGTTGGTCTAGCTTCAATTGACTCATGATTTCAATTATATTTAAAAATTACTAAAAATCTCCACAAGCAACCCCTTTATTCTTTGAATGTTCTAAATGAGAAAAAAACCAAGGTATGTATTTTATAGTGTTTTCGAAACTTAGTAAACATCAGATTATATACTAAACAATTACATTTACTTAAATGAATCAGTACGACGAATCCGCTCGATTTTTTTCTTATACAACAACCAGTTTCTCATATGTAAGAACTTACGTCTAAATTGGAGCGAATGGTTTCACAGTATTTGGGCGCCGAGTTGATGTAAGACATTAAATAGTAATAATATATTTGTAAAATCTCAGTGAATGAATTTGAAGTAAATCCAACGTTTCATCTGGCAATCTGATCCAAGCTTTTTCATGGAAATATTTCCCAGCGAACCAATCGAGCTATACTGGCTGGAACAACCGTTCCTCAAGGTCCCACCATCCCAGTCGGTCTGTTGAAGAGAGGTTAGAGTAAAATCAGCAAACTCAAAGTCCGAAGGCCTGGTCGTACTGCTAACTGCATAGAAATGTGACGGCAGTAAGGTGTTTCCTTCAGAAAATCAGCATAACACTGATGCTGCCTTCCCACAAGGAGAGGAAGGGTTAGAAAAGGTCGATCCTAAAAATGCACACCTCGCCTTATCCATCTTCTTGAAGTATTTCCTTGAAAAAGTTTGGATCAGATTGCCAGGTGAAACGTTGAATTCACTTCAAATTCATTTTCTGAGATTTTATAAATATTCATTCTTCTTCTTATTTAACTCTTTTCTCATATTTCTCTTATAGAAAATTGTTTTTCAGAATGATTTTCTTCAAAGAGAAAAAAAAAGGAACTTCAACATATGTTATCGTTTAATATTGTCTCAACTTGTTTCATTCATTTTTTTGCCATAGATACATGAATATCAACTATTCATAAGATAACCATTATGTATAATTTTCAGGAAACTAACAATAACCTAAATAGAAGACATTGGATATTGATTTTTGTTTTTGATGATTTAATTACAGTAACCCTATAATCATTTTATATTTTATTAATTTCCCATATAAATTTATTTATATATTCTGTTTTTTTTATTTTTTGTATAATCACCATGGTAGTATTGGTTATTAATGATGATTATCAGAAACTATTTATCATTTAAGGAAAATAGTAGGAGAAACAATAAAAAGGAAGTATGTAGTGATGGGTTGGTAGGTGTATGTGGGAAGGGTGTGTGTGTGTGATAATTTTTTTTGTTTTTCACCAACACATTTTTTTGTGTAAAAATATGTACGCCACAGTATAATAATAAGAAATTTAATTATATGGCTATAAAATAGTTTAAATAAAGAAGAAAATACAACCAACTAAATGGGAAAGAAGTTTTTCTTAGTGTATATTCCATTAGATTGTAGACTTTCTGATGAGATTAGAGTAATAATTGCTTGTAATGGTGAAGGTGCATCCAATCTTTGTGTTCACCGCAAATTCTAATCCTCTGAATTCTTCATATCTCTCTATCATTGGATTATACTCCTTGAATAACATCTTCAAACCCTAGTCTTTCAGATTACTACTTATACGCTCACTATTTCTACCAGTATGGAATTTGAATCGACAACTGTATCTCTGTGTTAATGTTGTATGGCAACTCGAACTGATGTACATACGTAAGAAGTTCTACGTTGTGACTGACTGAATGAATACTTTTCCTTTAACATGTTCATTAAACATAACCACGTCTGTTGATCGCTGATATTGATAAGAGAAAAAAAAGAACAATCTAGAAAGAGTGAAACGAATCTATTTTTGTCATCAATACTATTTTTACATTTTTCATTACAACCACCTACTGGATGCAATTGATTGTAAGATG